GATGGCGGTGTTCCATTCCTTGGTCGACGAGCACTATCACACTATTTTCGACGCTGTTGAACAGGTTTTTTACAGTCCACAAACGGACAAAATCAGAACAATTGTAAAGTATTATTCCCAACAGAATTGGAGTATCTCTGCCGAAATGTTTATTCTACTTCTTTGGCTTTATCAGAACGTATCAGTATGGCTGGCTGGATTTCTTTGCAAAGAATTAGTACCACGCACAAAAAACTAATTGGGCAGTAGCTATGAAAATTTCATTGGCGTCACTTCACATGAAGAATTACCGTGGGCAATGTCAGATATCCTATTTCGACTTAGGTTATGGATCTAATTGCGAAAACTGTGTGTAATTCGTGTTTCCATTTCGAACCAAGTCGGGTACGATGTTGTCTTGTCCATGAGCTGTACCTCTCTTCTTGCTTTTGAGCGCAACTCAGGCTTCGGAGGAACAAATGCAGGGTGATTTCCCTTTTAGTAGGGGGCTTGGATTCTTGAACGAAGTTGTGGAACCGCAAAATAGAAGATCAAGCTTCAGCTTTCCTTATTTTCACTTGGTATTGGTAGTCACGCGATCGGAGCTTTTGCTTTACAAAAGCGATTTTGGTGTAATATTTTAAATTTTCCGACGGGCAGATTGTAGTATTCGCTAGCGTCTTCCTTCAAGGAAACTAGGAAAAGCCCTCGCGAATCTTCTTATCATACACTATTAATCTCCTTATTCTTGAAAGATGAGCACCATAATTCTGACCGTAGCAATGAAAAGAGAAATGAGTGATCTGATCCAATATGGAATGAAGGTACTGAAGAGGTATTATTAGAGAAGCACTGTTTTCTGTCCATGAGAATTTGATCGATCCCCGCATGAGTTATGCCGATGCACGTTGCTCATATTCTTGCCTCGACTTTCCTTTTTCCCAAATGAATAAATTTCCATGGAAAAAGTCCCACAGCAGTGTTTTCATTACCAGGTTCTAATTCCCATTTCGGTCTCTTTTTCCAAATCTCCGTTTCCTATGCTCATCGATCTGTCCTATATAGTGTGCATCTAAATCGGTCTCTTCATTCATTGTACTTGATGAGCAGGTCACAATGACACTGACCTTCTGATATCCGACTTGAGGCCGAATTTTGGGAGCTCGAGATGAAATGATCTCAGTATGTAGAGGAAATATGCAACAGACGGGGGTTTGTCCCAACGACTATGGCATCAACTTAGTTTGACGGAATATTACCTCCATGAATGAAGAGGACGTTTTTGCATGTCGACCTTCTCATCTTTGGTTTCTTTGTTTAACGATGGTCATATGGAAACTGATATGTGGCCTCAAGAAGAGCGATGGTGTCCGAGTGTGTGTGCTCCGTTGTTGTAAGTGCAAAGCAACAAGCGACATTTAAGACCTTTAGTGGGCGTGTTGATTTGACCCCGTCCCAGTGACGTCCCTGGACAAGTTGACGAATTTTCTCACTGGTTCTCTCAATGTCCAACCTCCTATACGAGAGCTCTCAGCGTCCTGGCGTTCTTTTTGATGACTGAACAATTAATATCTTCTCGGAGACCCACTTTTTCAAGTGCTCATTGCATGGATTTGCTGGCTGTATTAGTTTGGGGGAAATTGTGCCAACTGGTGATTACCGCAATGTTGTATGTTAAATAGTAATGAAAGTATTTTTATTGTTATTATCATGGTCGATATTGATATTATTACTCATTCGACTGTAATATAAACTATTTGTCAATCCTATTTCAGTGTACAATCTTTTTTAGTTTTAGAGCATACTCATTATTGCTCTTATTCCTGGGCTTTTTGGCGTAGCTCAGTGGAGATTTGTGAATGATACTTTTGGACTAGCTGCATAGTTTATTTTATCTCCATTTGTAGTTTAATGGGCGCGTATAACGTAGTGGATATAAGTTCCTTGTAAACCTGGTTACCTGGTTCAGTTCCGTGCTCTAAGAAAACTAAGCCCCCTACCCTTCGGAGTCCGCGAGTTTGGTGCACGATTTGCCCTGGACTGTAAAAACCTGAATTTATGCGTATGTAGGTCACTAGAAATTATTGTACAGACCGAAAATGCATTGAAGCACCAACATACCTAATGAAGTCGGTTGAATAGCAGTTCCCTCAAGGATTGGTAAATGCCGAATTAGCTTTCATGCTAACACTTAACCTTGGAGATGCATTTTATGCTATAGGTGGAGTGGCCAATGTATCAGCTTGTACACATGCATACAATGTATCTTGTATTGACTACTCTATTTTGCCCTAAAGTTTTTAGGGCACTTTTTGTGCTCATTCCATAGCCCGTCCAATACCGATGATATTTCATACGTCGCATATGAAAAGAGGCTTTCATCTTTAATACTTTACAGAAAAACTTGTTTCTTGGACAAGTGCATTGGTCGGTTTTGACTTGTAATGAATCGTTATTTGGTTCCAGTCGCTATGATGAATGATGCTTGGCACGTGAAATGTGCCTATGTAAAAAATTCAGAAACGGACTCAACACAAGCGTCAAAACACTTTCATATGCCAATAGCAATGTAGTTGAATAGTGGGCAGTAATAGCACGGAGTAAATAGTGGTATACATAACATTCATATCTATAGAGCAAAAGAACAAAGTCTGTCCTTTAAACCCTTCATCTTCACAACCCCTCAAGTTCGCTAGCCATCAAAAAATCACCGTCTGTTTTCGAAAAAGCAACCGATTCCTGACTATATTCGGCGTCGGTTAAACTTTGCATTAACGAAAATAGACTTCGACGGTTACAGTAACTAGTTGTACTTGTTCCCCGTGTTAAAGTATGTCAAGTGTGAGGCCACGAAAAAATCAGTTTGACGATTGACGATTTCAGATCCTATCTTGTTGTTCTTAAGTGATATTCGTGAAGTTGTACAATAAAATTTTTAGAGTGAGATCGCTTTCGATTTCATGCTTTCAAGAGTTTCCCGCATATGACAACGATGTTTATTTAACAAATCTGTCTAATATCTATCTGATCTTATCAATCTGATAATTCAAGCGTGCTAGAACGTAGATATTATTTTTGCCTCTTTCTCCACCTCATAAACGATGACAAAGGCTGGGTTCATTGATCATAGAGCGTAAATTAGTATAAAAGCTTGTTATAAATCCGGTCTTCTTACTGTAAAATCATCCACTGTCATCGTCACTGAAGTAAGAAATCGGACACGGAGAAAATTCGTATTAGAGGTGGAACGGTGTGAAAGTGGTTTGCACTCCGATGAACGATCACGCGATTTGGCGTGGCGTCGATCAATCGGTTGAGCACTCTCTTTTTGACTCCATCAAGTAGTGTATAAGTGACGCAGTCTATATTTGACATAAATAATAACTTGGATTGGCCTATCGTTATCGGGTAGGTGTTTTCATTCTCCTGGAGCAGTCTTGTACAGTATTGTCGTGCCCGGAGTAATGAAGGGTTCGACTTATTCAAGACGCTGGATCGGATCGAAGACGCTACATGTATTGCAGGACACATCTAACCACTGCGCTACATGTGAACAACGTTCTCAAAAACTGAAAAAAATATCTATGAAATAAAAGGATAATTTATTTCGAATGTGGTTATAATGGTGGACAGTAGTAACAGATAGTGAATAATATGCAACATGCATGTTATGCATACGTCTAGAGCAGTACAGCGAAATCTGCTCTATAATATTGTGGTTTTCTCAACACCTCAGGTCCTTTGGTTATCGAAAAATTACTGCTTGTTGTGGTGAAATAGGTGAGTCCATAACCGACATGCAATTAGGCATAATTCCATCTGACGACCGCTCTTATTTGAGCGTCAGACGTTACGTGTTTAAGAAGAAGAAACGTGTTCTTCGTACATTAGTGGATAAAATATAAAAGAAAACGGAAGCGAATGTTATCTCCTGACGAGGCCCCACCCATCCTTGTCTTGTCATCCCAATGATAACTGACGATCGATTGGTTGTCTTCATCGAAATCGTAAAACTTCACATTCGTTCACAAGTTTATAGAATCCTTTGGTGCTTTACTGCTTCGTCTACTTCACTATCTGAAATCACTTTACGAAGACCATTTTATCCCTGAAAAAAGGGATGAAAAGATATTTTTTCTATTATCCTTTTAAACTCCCACGACCGACTTTCTATTAACCTCGGCATTGATCAAGTAATTCTTTGAATTCTTGCTGAGGAAACGCGAGGTGTTATTTTTATTCTTTATTCACGAACAAGCTGACGTTTCGGCGGATTTCGCCTTCCTCAGAGCCTGGAAAGGTCAGGTTGATAGCAATCTATTCGGCCAAACACCTTGGTTATCGTCATCGAAACAAGAATAAAAATAGCACTTCGAGTTTGCTCAACAGGAATACGAAGGATATCCTTTTAGAATTATTTCGATAACAATATTATGTTATTTCTTTTATTAACAGTTCTAACCTGCTTATTCACTAATTTGTTCATTTTTTAAAATGTATCATATCAAAATTTTCTCATTTATTTGGAAGAGCACTCATTATTATTCATTTATTTACTCGACCCACTTTCATATCTTTTGCGCGGATATCAGCACTTCTTGCATTCCTTTCGTTTCCTCGCATTCCATCATTTACGAAACTTTGAACTACTCAAGTGTGGATTCGACTACTGCCTGAGGATCCTTGTTGTTTTTTTTTGGATGCCTTTGAGTGCTGACTGAGCAGATTCTCCCTAGAGTCCTAGAAAAGTCGGGATGACACGTTTATCTATTTAATTAATCGTTCCCTATTGATTTATCTATTTGGTTACACAAGACCTACATAATACTTGGGTCTCTTGACAAATAGTGCGAGTGCCACTAGAATTTCCACTTGACTGGTATATTGTTTGAAAAATTTTTTTCTCGGCTGCTAATCCTAACAAAGCAGCACCACTGTAGTCCAACGTTGTTACTAAAGGTTTTCGGCGGACATTGTGAGTCGCAAAGAGGTTTGTTGCCTAATGTTGGCTAGGTATCCTTCAGACCGGTAGTGATTGCTGGGAGTGATTTAGTCATAATTGGGCCTCCAAATAAAAATATCGAACTCCTCTTCGCATCTCGGCTGATCCTGCCCAAGTAATGAACCCTGACTCCACAGCTCAATTTGGGACCTAGGAGCTTCTTCTTGATAGGGTTGCGCTTTAAATATTCAACGAGCTCGAACCACTGAGCGGATAACAGAAACCTTAAGGACTTTTCTAGAAGAACACTCTCCTACTACCCACTGCTGTCTCATATAACATTTGCTCTATAGGCTTTACTGCGTTTCTTTCTTCACGCGGTTTTGTGCATCTTTTCAGTGCTAAAAGTATCGCTTTCAAATTCGAACGGAAGTTCATCATTCGTTCGCCTTTCCAGTACTTTCCACCACTTTCCAGTACTAATGGCGCTCTAAAGTTGATCCACATTCTTTCTATTTAGGCCTAAATCTTGTCATAACCTTCTAGAAAGAATTGAGTAGGAAATACGATATGAATAATCATTCGACAATATTTTATGAAGACAAATTAGAAATTGACGGACTTCATATTGGTTATTCCCTCTATGGTAGTGGCCCAAAATCCATACTCTGCATTTGTGGAGCTGTAGGTTTGTTTTTACGGATACTATTCTTACGGAACATAACTTCCACACAAGGACACATTTTAAAGAATAAAACTTATTTAGGATGTTATAAGAAAGACTGGCCATTTTCTTTACTGGAGTATTTCGATCAGACACTGGTCACAATTGTCTGCATTGATCCTCCTGGCTACGGTACTTCACGACCACCTGATCGTGTTCAGGAGGTCAATCGTTGTTTGAAAGACGCCGGATTTTGCCTAAAACTTATGGAGGCACGTTTTCAAAATGCTACTTAAAGAATAGAAAAATCGACTTTCCTTTAACAACGGCGCAGCTAATCAACGTGTAATTTTTCATTGATAAGCTAATACGGAGCCCAGTGGTTTGAGACTTCCTGCAATAAACATAGGATCAATCCAGCGCCCCAGGCTTACCAAGTTTTCCATTCCTGCCAGGTCGGTAAATTGGAACCAGGCTTATCTGGGAGGATAGCTGCACTGACTCGATATATCGGTAGACCACCGTGTGTATCCACTATTGTATAGCCCAGATATGTATTAAGTCACCTCTAACTATGTTAAATGAAGTCGAATTCATGGCGTATCCCTCAGGAATTGATGAATACCTGGAGCTTTATCCCTATCCTTCAAACTAACACGAGGTTGACAAGAAACTTTATTCGGCTGGGCGACCTCAACCTATATCTTCACGTTGGCTTATCATTGAAAAAATCACATATTGACTAGTTAAACACATTAAAAGAAATAAACAGAAGTTTAATTACAGCCTTACCTTTTCTATTTACTGCCTACTATAAATTTCAATGGCAAGGTATCATGTGAAATACAACTAAGAGATATTGATGATAATGATGAGATATTGGCAAAACTCCGGACCACAGGTGTCTGCGGTGGGGAACGATCGCGTTATTACCCTTTTCGTCGGCTAACGCGCTCCCACCACACCATGCGGGTCCTTTGTTTCGCCTATCTGTCAGCTAGTTCTATTGATCGGCGCCATCAGCAATCACCCGTCAACGCGACTGATCTAGGGAGTCCAAATCGGCAAAGAAAAATGCATTTCTGGCCTTTACAATGAGTCGTGATGGCCGACTGATGTATCGGGCCAGTGGTGCTATCCTCCCAGGCAAGTCTGGTACTAATCTACCACCCTGGAAGGATGGAAGGCTTGGTGGGCCATGGGCGCGGAGATCCATTCCATGTGTGTGTCTCACTGGTGCCTCCAACCTTTGCGCCACAAGCGCCCTTCATATTACTATATGTTCACTTGTATGCTTACCATGCTGTCTGCTTAGTAAACTATCTTATGTGTTCACTATACTATATGTCATATTACTATGCGCTACTATGTGTTTTACTTATGGTGAGCATATTTCTGCATTTCTTATGCCCGTCCATTCCATACGATGATCATGATTCCTCATGACGATTTGAATAGAATAACAGTTGAGGGCGCCTGTAGTCCTGCAGTGTAGGGGCGCCCTGCAGTGCGCATGGGATCGATCCCCGCGCTCAAGGTTCAAAAGGCCTTTCCTTCCCTCCGGAGTTAGTAAATCGGTACCAGACTTGTCTAGGGGGCCAGCAGCACAGCTTGATACATTGGCAATCTACCGTGAGTCATCCTAAAGGCCAGATATGAAACCAATCACCTCCAACGCAACTTAGTGAAGTCGAATGCATGCCACACCCTCGAAGATTGTTCACCGTCTAGAGCTTTATCCTTTGTTATTTATTTAATAGCTAATCAGGAATACAGCTTCAATATGGTCAATGGACGCGTTCGCAAGACATTCCTTTTCGAGTAAGTCACTAATGAGAAAATGCATTGGATGCAACGCGTTTCGTCCATTCTACACTATCCCACGCTGCATAACATGCAATGCATCCAAACCATCACGTGTTAAAGCTATTATATCTAAGTATTTTTCGCATTTTATATCAAATGATCCTGCATTTTATAACCATTTCTCAACTTCTGACTATTTTTTGTTTATAGGTACAAATAAAGAATGGCAGAGATAAAGAATTGTAAATGAGGTGTTCTGACATTTTTATTACATCCTTCTTTAGAAGCTTGGACTTACACCATTCACTGTGGTAGGATGGTCTGAAGGAGCCCGAACGGCAATTCATGTTGCCGGTCAAGGAGGAGAGACAAAGGTTCATTGGAAATCTAGTGATTGTTCCTTTGTCTTCAAATTTATTGAGTTGTCATCGCTTTCGCTTGACGTTCAGCTCATCAACAAAATAACGAGTTTATTAAACAGATATGTAAATGCAAAAATTTATTATCAATAAATCTTAGGGATGAAATAAGATAATTTAAGAATAGAGATGTTTTTCAGTCCTCTTTTACCACCAACATCAACTGTGTAGTGTAGCACTCTTATAGTATTTATATCAGACTAAGTACTGAGGAGCCACAAGCGTTCGTTCTTCAGGAAAACTTGTTTTAGTACTCTTACGAACTGTCGTGGATAAGCTGATATGTGGCTATTCACAGATATTTTTGATTTTCGATTGCTCACGTTTCGGTGAGTTTCCAACCTTCTTTAAGGAGTGGATAACAATGTTATACAGCGTTATCCACTCTACATTACAGTTTTAATAAAGAAAAACCGAGGTCAAAAATCAGGATTCACCAAATAAGGCTACAAAACAATAGGTCCAGCCACGGGCTCAGAAGAAGGGGAGTCACCGAAAGACTAACCATCGGGCAACAGAGTTCGTATCAGCTCATCAAGAACAGTTCGTAGAAGCGGAACTACTTGTCCATTAATGTCGAGCCTGAGTGGAAATTAGTCTTTCCAGTTAATGAACAGTTATGCATCAAATACGATCATTCATATATAGGGAGAGTAGCGTGTCTTTACTACTGCATGAAGAAAAATCTCGAATGTTTTGTTTTCAACTGCATATCATTAGTCTTTTCCAATATCTCCCAAAAATCTTACCAATCTATAAAATTTCAGGTGAACAAATTGATTCTGTTGGCTGCTGCTTCAAAAGTCACGAAATTGGGAGCGCTGGCATTCTTCGGTTCGCTGATTTGGTTTCCGTAATAATTTTGTTCCTATTCATTACATCCGAGTTCATAATCCTCGTTAGTTTTTAATCAGCTAATAAATTTCGACTTACGTACTAGTTTATTGATTTATTGGCCTGTTTCCGTTAGTGCAAAATGCATTCAACATTATCCCATGGCAACGTCGCCTTTCAGGTGAAATTTTTGTGATCGCATGGAAGAAATTGGAAGGTGTGTGTGCATGTATGTATGTATGTATGCGTTTTTTAAACCATCCTGAATCATCTGTAGTCCCGTTGATCGTCGAGTGAGTCGAACGGGCGCCAGTAAATCTTCCACTTTTTGATGTTGCGTGCAAGAGTAGCCCAGTGGGTTCTGCTCGCTCTAGGGACTCGTCAAGCACCATATCTTTCTTCTAGGCACTTCGTGAACTCTGATCATTGGGTCTTCCTGCAGTGCGTTTGACATCCCGAGGAATCCAGTCACTAACGGCTCCTGTCCATTGGTTGTCATTCATACGCATTGCGTGTCCGCCCCACCTTATCTTCGACTATTTGGCGTACACAATGGCATCTTTGATTTTTGATCGTTGACGGAGATCGGAACTTCCGATCCCATCTCCTACTTGTGTGGAACGGGATACTCCTAGAATCGTCCTTTCGACAGCGCGTTCGATAACGCTGAGTGACCTTTCATCCTCGTTGCGCAGCGACCAAGTTTCTGACGCATACGTTAGGGCAGAAAGTACTGGTGAGTCGAGAAGGAGGGCACGGAGTCGGGTGTTCTTTGTTTTCCTCACTATATCCTCGATGCTCTTGAAAGCTCCCCAAATCGCTCGCTTCCTTCTACTCAGCTCTGGAGCCAGGTCGTTCATCATACTGATTACCCGACCAAGACAGATATAACGGGTGCACTCAGAAATATTCGTTTCTGTAAATGTAAAGTGTAAATGGAGCATGCGAAACCATTCCGTTCTTATTGAACATCGTTTTTGTGAGATTTAGTCGAAGACTAATCTTAACACAGGCTTTATCAATGTCGTCAAGCATACGTTCCGCTTGGCTAACGTTTGGTGTTATAAGGACGATGTCATCAGCAAGGCGAAGATGGTGTAACTGCCGACCATCGATTTTCACTCTCATATTATCCCATTCCAATGTTCGCATGAGTGCGGCGATAAATAATTTTGGCGAGATGGTATCGCCTTGCCTAAATCCTCTTTTGACGTCAATGCTAGTATCGTTGTACAATGGTGATACAATGGTTGTGAAATTTTTGTACAGCTCACGAAGAATTTTTATGTACTGATTAGGGACTCCTTGACTATCAAGGGCTTCCATAACTGCTTCTATCTCAACTGAATCAAAGACCTTCTGTAAATTGATGAAAATGAGACAGAGCGGTCTTTTGTGTTCTCGCGAAACTTCACTGAGTCCTGTTATCGTGTGGATGTGGTCCATCGTAATAAATCCTTTTCGAAAGTCTGCTTGCTCACATGGCTGTCTTTCGTCTGGTGTTCTGTCAGTCCTGTTTAGAATAATTCGAGTGAGAAGTTTGTAGACGACAAACAGCAGACAGATTGGGCGATAGTTGCCGGTATCGTGTTGGTCATCTTTCTTAAGCAATAACATGGTCTTGCTGGCCTCCCACTGAGTAGTGACCTTGAATTCAGATAGGTAACGTGCGAAGAGCCGAGCCAGTGTGTTTACGAGAACTGGCGGAAAGTTCGTCGGGTGTTCTGGTCTTATCCTGTCCGGAGGACCTGATGCTGTTCTGTTTTTCAGCGACAAAATGGCATGTCGGATTTCGAAAGGGATAACCGGTGGTACAACATATTCATCCTCTTTTATTTCATATGACGGAAGGTGGATGTGGCTACAGAAGAGATCCGAGTAGTATTCGTGGATGATTTTCTCCATTGCCTTTCTGGGCGCTGTAACTGTTTTGTCTGGGCATCGAAGTGCAATCATCTTGGGCTTATAATTGGCGAAGCTTCGGTGGGCTTTGTTGATGCTTTTCCCAGCCTCTGCAGCTTTGGCGATGACTGCTGCTCTTCTCTCTTTAAGATCTTATTTTATCACCTGTCTGCATTGTTTTCAAAGTTCGGACGTTGGTTCGCGGTTGCCTGCAGCTTACGCGATTCTACGCTGGCGTATCAGCTCAAGTGTTTCTGGAAACAAACATCTCTTGGTGACTTTCGAACTCTCAGCTTTCATAGCGCTAACGTGAAGATGTTGAATGAGCCAATCGTATTCTTCGTCGATGTTATCGACACCAGCATCTTCCCAGCAGCCGACTATGAATTGAATAAGCCCCAGTTTGCTGTGGTTCTGGGGCTTCGATTTTGGAATTTAGCGGCTATTTCTCCTTTCAACGAGAAATAGAATCTGGCAAGAATGAGACGATGGTTTGATCTCGTGTAGAATTTTGAGACAACAGCGACATCGTCTAGGCAAAACCTCCTGTTTACTATGATGTGGTCTATTTCGTTATGGTACTCTCTATTGCGAGACTCCCACGTCCAGCGATGAGGGTGGGGCTTCTCGAATTGCTAGTTACCATTGATTGTCTTGGTCGCCGTGATAAACTCATACAGGTGCTCACCCTGTTCGTTCCAATCTAATCCGTGGTCCCAATGTGACGTTCTTCAAACTTTCTTCTCGGTCCAGTATTGGCGTTAAAATCTCCAATGATGACCTTGATGAACATGTGGTCTTCTCTGTAGAATTTCTGCAAGTCCATATAGAACATCACGACTTCTTCTTCGTCAGAGTTTGAAGTCGGCGCATAACCGACGAAGATTGTCAAAGCCGGAATTGATCCTTGTCTTTTTAATCGTAAACGTCCGATTCGGGTTGTAAGTTGTTCGAATGAATCGATGTTCATGGACAAACTCGTCTTGACGAGAACGACGATGCCGCGGACTCCTGTCTACTGTCGGATGTTCCAAGAAACAATTCTTCTCCGGTGTCGTAGACGGCGTTGAAAGACTGGCGTCTTCTCGTCGCGGCCAAGCCGATGAGGTCGTACTTTATCCTTCTTAGTTGCATGAGCAAGTCTTCTATCGAGGACTCGGCAGCAAGTGTACGTGCATTGTAGGTATAGATCTTCACCATAGTTCTCTAAAATCCAGGCAGCTTCCATTGCCACTGAGATTTTAGCGTTCTCTCCGTACTCGTCCTACCCAACGCTGCGAAATTCGGGGCTCTTTCATGGTCAGGGAATGAGGCCCGTTTTTTTTTATTGTGTTTAGCATTTTGATGCCCACGTATGGCCTGCTGGGCTCTGAACGTGTGTGCTGGGTATACTCACGGGTAGCTTGCCAGGCTCTCCCAGAGTGGACATGGAGCTTATTTGTTGGAGGCGACTCCTAACCGCCTCTCACATACTTCCCAGTCACTTGATTGCAGGCTTTTGGCCGAATTGACTCGTAGAATACAATCCACATAAGCAAGAGCGCACCCACACTGCATGCATGAATACGCCTAGCAAATATAGAAAGTATGTGCCAAATCATCGCAGCAGAAGCCGGGAGTCCATCTCCTGGATCCATCTGCGTCTCAGAGAAGCAAAGGTCGCTTTTGGTCCGCGACTAAACCCCCATCTGCCACCTGGGGACGCGCCACGTAACCTCGCGACTAACCGGCTCGAGATCCCTCATATGAGGAAGATCCGTGATTTAAATTTAAACCATCATGCTGTTTTATTTCTAGGAACACAACGCATAGTAAAGCAAGGCGAGACGACTCTGCGATCCTTAGTTTAATTGTAGGCGATCAATACCAAACAACTCAAGAGATTACTCAATACATAGATTTTCTGTCAATAGAACCATCGTTAGCCCCATTCGTTTAACACTTTCGCAATACAGACGGGAGTTTGGACATGCGGTGATTGGTAAAAGAACCTGCAGTACTCACGAAATTCCGCGGATTGCATAACCGATATGCCGATCTCTTGACACCTAAAACTCACGCGATGACGCCAAATTTCGCTTTGCTGTCGCTGTGGACGACGCCTAATTTTCAACCATTACGGACTTGCTGTTTTTTTTTTACCAATAAACAATGATTTTCCAATAACTAGAGACTTCGTGTGTTGCGAACATGACAGGCGTGTAAAAAAGACTTTGCTCTATACGGGCATGAACGATATATGTGCTGCTATTTTTCTTATTTTTTATTTTATTCTGACCCGTCTTTACGTCTACCGTGCGGATCCCAGCACTTCTCACATTCGATTCGTTTCCTCACATCCATTGTCCACGAACATCTTCCAACTTTACGTGTGGCTTCGGTTGCTGCTTGAGGATTTTCATTTCATTTCGAATGTCGTGGAATACTGGTGGTGCAATTCTCCCTGGAACCCTAAGATAGCTAAGCTGGAGCGTTCACATATGGTGTTATCTGCTGTATCTGCTATGGTCTATCAAGCAAATACATTACTGTCAGGATTTGGAAGTGTTTCGCAACATGCGTATCTATTTCAGTATCCTCTATACTTTCACATTCGACACGATAACTATTTTCCATTACAGTAGTTAGAATTGAAGTCGTAGTCGATTAGCGCTCAAATTTCTGGCTACTGAGCTCATTAGGAAATCTGTCCCTTTTTTGTATATTTCTGGGTGCAGAATAGAGATTTTTCCGATTAACGTCCAGTCCAACAAACAGACTATTGGAAAGAAGGTGAAACCTGTGGAGGTCATACCGACCCCTCTGGCAATTTTGAAATGGTTCCCATAGAGTTTACATGTGCGAGAGTGTTAATCACTACATCGCGGACGACAGTGAGGGTGATCTACAACTTTTACTTCAGTCTCTTTGACACCTATATAAATTGTGCCTCCATAACAGGTTAGAAAGCAAGGGTAACACATCATCTGAACATGCTCTCTTCTCCGAAATTTCACACACTATCCCATCGATAAAACGTCATGCTGCGCTAGATTTTGAAAAGAGAGGATTTGTTCCAATTCTGTCGTTTTCTGAAGTAATGTCGTGTTTCTTGTCAGTGGAAAACCTTTAGCAGTAAAGGTGCACAATGGGGGAGTGAAAAGAGAATGATACGGCATCGGCAACAATTCACTGGCTCACATGAAACCAATAACATGGATTCATTCATTTTCAGCACTTCAGCGTTTGAAAATTTTCACTGCAGCTGGGACAACTTTATCTTATATATCTGCTTAAAATATTCTACCAAAGTGTTACTGAACAGTCTTATCTTTTAAATTTTCTTTCCACTTAAGCTCCACTATCCTATAACTATTATTGGTTTTTCTAAGGAAACCATTTTTTTAGGTATGAGAAACACAGACCACTGGCTACCATTAACCCGGGAACCATATCTGGCTCACTATTCTGAAGAATTTCTTCGAAAGCAGTGGGCCGCACTTTGTGACGTCGTTCAGGAGTTAGTTTCTTATCATATTCGTATTTGCTATATTCGTAACAGTATGCATTGATTTCAATGTGCATCCAACATTTAGCAGTTATGTGACTTCAGTTCATTCTTTTTCTTATGCTCGAAAAAGTGCTTTTACAACGCCTTTTCGCAGTTTCTCGAGTGTAATATGCCTATTCGAGAAGAGCTATTATCTTAAATACTTGTATACTTGGGGCTACTTACGGTATTTGTACACTCCTTACGAGTAGAGTGCGCCTGTCTTAACGAATCGAGCGGTTAGCGGCACATTTTCCATTCGTTGCTATCTGTCGCAGTAGAAAGACATATTGATGAAATTCATTCCCTGATTTCACAGATACTGCAGCTGCGAATACAGCTGCTGTATGGTTGGAACATGCTCACCACTCTTTAGGTAGTTTGCTCGAGGACACTTACATTTTCTTGGTGTCATTTCCAGTATTCTTCTTGTCTGGTTATCTTCAACTGTCCTCATGACATGAACAGCGCATTTACATTTCGGTTCCGAAGTATCTTCTCGAGTAGATGATCATTCTTTAAGGTTAAAGCCAGATAACCTGTAGTGCGCAAAATTCTCGACATTGTTAAACGCACAGAGTGACAGTGGTAACGCACAAATGAGTAACATTTGAAAGGCCGTAGATGGAGAGCGTGCCAGACCTGCTTTGGATCCATCAGTCGGTTAGTGGTTTCTTTAAAAGAGAGAAATGCAGTTCATGCTGCTGTTGATCCGCACAATTCCTAGTTGATGCGCATTTATTATACAATCTGGTTATTTGTGCAATGCGATCTTTGTAATTGAAGTATTCCATTTCCATTTGTTAACCATAGCACTACAGGGTTTCCATGTTGTAGGATTTATTCGTATTCAAGGGAAATCCTCTTTTTCTCTCGTTTCGTTAACTTCTGTAGCATCGTCTTCCCACTAAGAGATGAAGCGAAATGTTGTAGATCGCAGCTCTGACTTCAGAGGGATGAATTTTGGATTTCAACAGAGAGGGTTAGAGTACAACTTTTTCTATTCTGGATTTCATACCGTTAAATGATGGAAATCCTGTCTTCATTCGTCACTATTGGTAGTAGTTCGTTATATCCATTTGAATCCTGAGTGCGTCTCTTCGGACCTCTTCTTTTTTGAGATACTTGGAACAGTTTTTTTTCGACTGTTCTGATTTAAGTCCTCTAGCCAAGATTTTTAACTCTTCCTTCTGTTAGGTGTGTTGATGTAAGACCATATCTGTTTTTTGTTTTTTTTTCGACAAACTACTCAATTCAATGATAGTGAAGATGTGGTCCAAACTAACTAGTTGAGTAAGTAAACTATATTTTAGGTCTTAAGACGACGAAGTCGTCCTTGGTCAGTTTTTTTTTTACCATAGCCATCATTTAGGAAGAGAAAGATTCTGCTAAAATTTTTCCGTCAACCCAACTTTTGCTTTTTTTTAAAGTACACCAAGAATCTTTCCGATGCAGCACTCAACCGAATCATCATGTTGGTAAGTCAATCATCAGCTCGAGAAAGCACTTCTGGCACTGTGGAGTTGATCTCTGATGAGTTATGTCGACAAGCTACTCTTATAGCAGACAGCAAGTTATTTCCTCCCATAAGATGTTTTTCCATGGAAAAATCCTCTGTGGGAAAGTTCAGTAAGACGGCTCTAATACCTAACTCGTTCTCCTTTTACTAAGTTTTGAGTTTTCTGCCACGACCGACTTTCTATTAACCTCGGCATTGATCAAGTGATTTTCTTCGTATTTTTGCTGAGCAAACGCGAGGTGTTACTATTCTTTGTTCACGATTAAGCTGACGTTTCGGCGGATTTCGCCTTCTTCAGAGCCGCTTTCTATGAGGTTTCCACTAAGTATGTCACGTAGAGACCAACCGCACAGAAATCACGTGGAAGTATAATGTGAACAGTATCATCTCTGTCATCCAATTGGTTTCGATCGGTACTTCTGAATATTTGCCCGTTTTAGGGTAGTCGCATCACATTTGATGGAAGTTTACGGCCTCAAAAACTGACGATTGATGAGATGATGATAAATGATTTATCAGAGTGCCTCGTACAAGAAAGAGTGTCAATGGCGTGCAATGAGTGTGTCAAACCGATCCGGTTCCAGATAGGTCCCCCATAGCCGAGTTTCTTTTTAGCGATTGTGCGGTATCATAAAGAGGAACCCCTGCTCCCATCGATATAGCTTTTGCAGGGCGTATTCATTACAAATAGCTCTTGTTGATTGAAGGGAAGTATTGCCTAGCCTGCATTTCCTACGATTAGGGGACTGACCAGTTCATTAAGACATGATGTACCGGACTGAATTCAATTATGGAAATGTAGAAACGAAAAATCGATCGAATGCTTGGGAGTAATTTAAAAACCTTAGAGCTGTTCCCTAGACATAACATTTTACAAAATCACCTTAAGAATAAATTTACTCATCATTTACTCTCGCAGAGCTTTTCCTCTTAATTGAATAACTAAAGCGACACAGAGATTGTTATTGATGGGAATTATGCTAGCATGTTTCTGTAATACTTATACATGGAGCTTCGACACCTCGGCTGACGGTTTCATTGTGAAGTGGTAAATTACTCAGGAGGCTCTATCAAGGAAATTGTAGTAGAAATATACAGGATGATTGAAACTTCTTATTTTAGAATATTTACAACTTATTCGCACACTATAATACTTTCCTCAAACTTTCCGCGCATGTTATACTTTTTAATGTATGAGAATTAAATCGACTTTGGAAAAACTTAAAGGGCGAATACGTGAAGTTATTTCTTTCATTACACAAGAGATCCTGGTCAAGGCAGTCGATGTGGTTCATGGGCGGCTTGGGAAGCTGTGTGGTAGATATTGGTGCCCATGTTGACTTTTAATAAAACACCATGCTACACGCCTTTTTCTCATTTCAATTTTTTATAAAAACTGCGCTTAAAAAGTATGTTATAAGAATTTTAAAATAGGAATCTATCTCCAAATCTTGTACATCCAGCCTTTTTGTAATTTCAGTTGAGCAACTAAGTGGAAGGAGAGTTACTTTTGGAAACAGACCCAAAACTGGTTCTCGACCCTTCCTCGCTTCACGCAAATAACAATGAAATGAGTCATACACACAGTCAAACAAGTAGCAACCAACAGACAATCCTATACTAATATATCGGTGTAGATCTTTTGTGCCTCAGCATCATTACTGCCTAGTCAGTAACATCTCCAAGTTTAGTCGAATCTCTTCCGACGTACGCCATGTTTTTGCAAGTACTCGAGTGTGAAGTACACGAGTAGCACTGTGGTCTTCAAATGTGAATATTATGATGCAATTGTTATCTTCCCTATTTTGAAGTAATATTGACGAAATATGGTTTCCGGTCCCAGCAGCACAGAAATCTTGCGCACACAGACGATATTGGCAGATCTGTAAACCCTTACGATTTCCATTAAATTAGCTAAATAAATTAACTACTCTATCTGGTTTGCATTGTTTAGAAAGTATGAGTGAAAACAATTTTTTAAACTTGCTACTCGAATAACTTTGTGGGAAGTAGAATTTTTGTCAAAGGGCAGACTACTACTCCAGCTATTTCTTGGCCATAGAAAACAAATATTGCTGATTCGATGCTTTCTTCAATAAGCAGACACGAGGTTGTTATTATAGAATTTATTAGGATACAATAGTTGACGTTTCGGCGGTTTCGCCTTCTTCAGAGCCTGGAAAGGTCAAATTGAGATGCGATCTAATCAGCCAAACACTTTCATAACCCCAGCAGATAAAACTTAACAAATAAATTTGTACTCACATAAGAAACAGCCTCATTTAAACACCTACCGTTTGTTTGTTGTAAGTATTTAGGCTAGTTGGTGGAAAGCCNCACAATTGCTGACGTTTCGGCGGTTTCGCCTTCTTCAGAGCCTGGAAAGGTCAAATTGAGATGCGATCTAATCAGCCAAACACTTTCATAACCCCAGCAGATAAAACTTAACAAATAAATTTGTACTCACATAAGAAACAGCCTCATTTAAACACCTACCGTTTGTTTGTTGTAAGTATTTAGGCTAGTTGGTGGAAAGCCGCCGCACAGAGTAATACATGGGCGATAACTGTGTCTGTGTCAGGTCATTGAATTATCCTGAGGTATGGCGCCAGGTCACGCGTGATGACAAGACACTCCTCCTTGCGGTTGATTTTTGAATCTTTGGAGTTGATCCAAAACGCTTCAAGAGCTACGCGCTGATGTTTTCGCTTCGTGCGTGAGGATAGTGGCTCCTACTTCAAAATCTCCGTTGTGTTCCTGCATCCTATGCGCGCCTAGTGGAGTGTTTTGCTTTAATTTAGATTTACCGACTAGGTGTTCTCTTATGCGGACGCAGAGTGGTCAACCCATTTCGCCAGCGTATTTGTCCCCGCACGCTTTACAAGAGATCAGATAGACTGTACCCGAACTCATGCAATCACCGTGTCTACCGTGTAGGCAAATCATGCAGCTTTCCGTTGCACATAGAGGGGTCGTATAGGCGGTTGGGTATTAGCTGGCGTATTAGAGTGTCCAATGTTATTTCTATCACTCTTACGGAATTTTCTAGGCTGGTCCTTATTAAGTAACGTTTTATGGCTGTACTTATTTCGTTTGAAATAAAGGGCAAGAGGAACGGAGCTTGTTCTCGCTAGAATTATCGCTCTGAGGGGTGGTTTTTCCTTTATGTCTATGCCGAGAAGCTACAGTTTCGTAACCATTTCGAATAGCTGTTTGGCGCGCCAGTTTCGAGGATTCTTCCCTCTGCTCTCTACCTGTGCACACGCTAGTGGCGATTCGAAACACAATTCTTACGAAACAAAACAAAAGCGCCTTTTGGTGTGTGAGGATTGAGAGGAGAGGTAATGAACCACTATATTCTTACTGCTTGGCTTTCGATACTATTTTGTGTTTTAGCCGTTTCCGGATAGGTTAATTTGAACATTTAGAAATGGAAGCCAGTTTTCTTTCGGTTTCTCATGGGTGAATTTTATGTATTCTGACTGTTCTTTCAATAACTCAAAGCATTTTTTCATCTACTCCTGTGTGGAGCAGATGACAAAACAATCATCTATATACCTACAGTAGAGTAGTGGTGTGAGATCGATTGCTGGTTGCTTCCACTATAGACATAAAGGCAACGCCAAGGGTTGGTGCCAGTCGCTGTCCCATTGCCAACCCTCCAATCTGCGCGTAATATTTCCCGGACCATCTGAAGATCGGGCAGTTTAGGCAGACCTTTAAGAGGACCATAAGCTGCTGAATCGAAAAGCTATACATGTTAATTGCTCTTTCGTGTTGCTCAAGAAGCTCGCGGATGGCTTGCACTACGGAGTCGTTCGACACGTTAGTGTAGTGGCAGAGGGATGAATCGTCGGAACTCGCCAAATAGCCATTCCAAATGGTTACAAAACTGTAGCTTCTCGACATAGGCGTAGAGGAAAAACCACGCCCCAGAGCCATAATTCTAGCGAAAACAAGGCTCCTCTCCTCTTGTCCTTTATTTCAAACGAAATAAGTGCAGCCGTAGAATGCGCGGCGCATTTCTCGGTGATTATCAACGCAGATACTTCTGTGATGTTCTCTAAGCGTAAATTTTTATCTTTAGAGTGTATGACTATTGCGGTGGACGTTTCCCGTGTGATTATGTTCTTCCGAAGATCGTTGTGCCAACGTTAATCATGAACGGCGGGCAGGATCGCTTTTGTGGGGATGCGAAGGCGTGCTTCCTTTCTGTGCTGAAGAACGTTAAGTAAGTGATCATTTGCAGAGTTATTAATATTTATTATTTTACTGGTGGAGACGTTAGATTTTTTTGTGTGTACAAGGTATGAAAGAACTTGTTTCACTTCTGTTTTATAATTTGTGAATTTCGTGTATTTAATTTCACTTAGCCAACTGTTCAGCCCGATTATGTGGAATACTGTATCACTAATAGGCAATTACATGTTGCTATTGGTAGTAGTAAAATTATTATCTCCATCATATGAGGTCGACGTGGCTGGTAAGTGATGTGCTATGTGCACAGCCATACAAGGCGGATTAGTTCATCACACATTAACCGCGAAGCTAAAACGAGTTTATGCTTGCCCTAAATACTTCTAAATCTTGGAGAGAAAATGGCCCTCGATGCTATGCTGGATGTTATCAGGAAGTTCTTTTTGTACATAACCCTTAACAGGCATGTTTGGATGTTTGTGAGTAAATGCGAATTTGTGTTGCAGCATTCGGTAAAAATTCACCAATCATGTGATTGAGTAGTACATTAAAGATGACCACGAGCATTAAGAAAATATAAGCTACAAAAGTTCCCAGGATCGATTTTCTATTAACCTCGGCATTTGAATATGACTGCGTCGTTTTCTTGTTAAGCAATCGCGACGTTTTTAAACAGCATACATTTACTTCCATAGAGAAACACAATGCAATACAACACTAGT